AAATACAAGCACATTTATCGATAAAATATTGCACAGTGATATGGCGCTACTATACATGCATATCCATACAATTTTGAAATTTTACAGGCAGCAAAATCCATTTGTTTATTAAAAAATAGCATGCGCACCCCCCGCACCCCATTCGTACAAAAAAATTTAAACTGCATATATTTTTAATCACAATTCTTTTTACAAAATCATGAATATTTTTTGAATTCACAAACATTTTTTGGAATTGCATGCATCGTTTTAGAACTCGTCAACAATTTTTTATGCATAGGCGAACATTTCTTGAAATTTGGGAATAAAAATTGATATGCAGGAACAGTTTTTGTTTGTGACGGACATTTTTTGAATTCTTGAATATTTTTTTGATTCAATGAACATTTTTTTAAAGATTGGTTTTTTGTTACATTCCCATAAATTGTTTTGAATATATTTTTACAAATTGGCGGACATTGTTTTTTAGACGCGAACCTTTATTTTTGAATCTCGAACATTTTTTTGAATCGATAAACGTTTGAAAAACTCATGAACATTTTATAAATTCACAATTATTTTTTTTAAATGACAAGAACATATAAATATAATACAGTCTGCATCCCCATATATACAAGATCACGTGCTTGTTCTGGTGGCTCGCTTGCGCAGCAATGTGCCCCTGTTAGCGGGTTCGAATCCCTGCGGTGTGCTTTTTTCTTTTTTTTTCTCGACCCACTGACATATGGGCCTTATTCAAACGTCGTCTGAGCTGGCCCGTGTCACCTCGCAAATACGAGATACGTATGCAATGTGTATTGTCAGGACTGTTGTTTCAACCTCAGGGACCGTATTGACTACGTATTTTCATGTACCGGGACCGTATCGATGCAATACGCAAGTACCAGGACTGAAGTGGACGTAGCCAGCGAGTACGAGGACTATAGATGCAATTATCTCCGCACTTGCAAGTGGGGTGCGTGGGGGCGGGCCAGAGATGTCTAGGCGGGTTGACTTAATAATTCGACAGGTTCGGACACGGAGAAAAAATATGACGAGGAAAACCTCAACTAGGGGGATTAATCCCTCTCACCTAAGCAGACGCACCAGCAAACAGTTCTCGGTACTCAATATACAGTAGCACAACAACACAACAGGAGTAATGCACTCTTAAAATTGAAAGATGAACTAGCTTTGTACACTGAAGAACCACCAAATCCACGAAACATTACACAACAAGTTTGCAACAAAGTGTTTGCCGGCAATTAATAATTCACACAAAACGGCTAACACAGTCAACCAGTCGGCGCAATCTCTTTTTTAATTCCGTTAACAATGTATTGGCAAACTACAAAGGTGCGCAACAAAAAAATCAACGAGA